ACATAACTATTCTACAGTTTTGTGAACAAAATTTTAATAATTTATATTTTTGCAAAATGCATCTGGTGAACAATTGCTTCCCTTTGCTCTGATGACCATGACTCTGGTAATGACTGGCAAAAGTACTGTCTATAATGAATCTTAAACATGGCCATCTAGCATGAGGTAAGACAAAGATCTACACAAATATCACTAGATCTTGATAACAACTGCAGTCTTTGATAGTTTCCATCTGAAAAGAAAACTAGAAATTGAGTGACAAGGTACTCAACAAACTAGAGTACTAAAAATTGTGAGATAATAATGTCTGCTTCTTTAGCCCTTTAAATACATCTGCTTGCTCAATTTCTACACTGTGCAAAGGGGAAAAGAACATACACAGGAGCTTTATAGATAATTAGAAAAAAACAAGTCTTATGTGGATATAATTTGTTTTAAGTAAAATCCATTACCACAAAGTCACAATACATGGCTGTTCCCTCTGAATCAACTGTGAACCTGTTGTATAATAAAACTTTTCCTCATTAAGCTTCTAGCTATATGCTCTCATGTACAATAACTTAAAATTATTTTTAATGTGATTCTTTTTTGCAAAAGCTTATAGTAAGTATGTGCTCTAGGAAAAATGTTCACTTAGCTAAATTGGTATTTTTATCGAATATAAACTTAAATTTTAGTTATTTTGTTACACTCTCCATGCTTGGTAGTAATCTTTGTCACACGTTACTTCTCTGACTGCTAACATTACCGCAAGAAAATAATTATCTGCAATAGTGAAACTGGTTTTGATTTCTTCACTGCACTTCTTACCTATGGTTCCTTCCTATAACTACATCTGACACTCAAGCAAAGATTTCAGATATACTCTGGAGCTAGCAGTGAATCTTATAAAAATGACACTTTGCAAGATTAAGATGATAAACACTGGTAAGAATAAAATATTTGACACAGCAAAGACCAGTTTGACTTATTTACTTCCTACTTCACTACATTAAAATTAGTGTTCAAAATTCAAAAATTTAATTGACAAAATGATCAGACTCCCTGTCCAAAAACACATATAGAAAAGACTGAGGACAAGTACATTGACTCAATGACCTGAGACAGAGGATCCTTATCTAAATAAGTCACAAGTCTCTACCTATTCTATCCTAAGAATCTGTCTGAGCTCAGATTTTAGGTTTAGATATCTTGAACCCTAATAATTTTAATGAAAAGCTATTATGCTAAATTGCTGGGTTTAAATCTCATTATAACTATATAAAAATCTTGTTAAAATACTTCTAGTTATGTGCTTACTTAGCTGAGACAACTTTAAGTAATATCAAAAACATGTTTGTACAGAATCCTATAAGTATTGCTAAAGAGACATTCTGTTAGCTCTGGCTTTATAAGTGAAAGACCTAAAGATGAGATGGAAGGAGCAATTTATTGTCTTTGAGTACATGGAAAAGCATTCCTTTGTGACTGTAGATGTCACTTGCTGAATCAGGGACATATTTCTTTTACATTTCTGCTTTTGCCCAATGATGTAGAAGATGCTATCTTAACAGAATAAATACTAAAAAATGCAAATTGACACCCATCCTTTGATTGAAAGTATGTTGGCAGCTTTCCTGGAGACTTTAAAAACAGAGAATATTAATCCCAAACTATTCTGGGCTCTGCACCAGTGACAAATATACTTTAGAGGGTCTTCTAACTAATAAAAATATTTAGGATTATGTGGGAGAAAAAAAATTATTCTTAAATCTGGATAGAATTACTGTGATATCTTTAATATTTTAAAATACTTTCAAAGTTTTTAATACTAGTATTAAATTATAAGATATACACAGACTGGCTGACCATTTATTTTGAAAAATAATCATAAAATATAATATTTTAAGCGATTGTTTTTGCTGGGAGCTCATCAAAATACTAGAAACACACAAATGCCACTGTCTTGTTCCTCCAAAACTGTTTACTCTAGATCAAAAGTAATATATTATGAAGTATTTAGATGATCGCAAAGAAAAAGGGACTGAAAATCAATTTCCCTCTATCAATAATTTGTCAGAAAACATTTTCCTCATGATTTTAAGTAACTGAACGTTAAATGTATATATCAGAAACATTTTAAATATTTTATTAAGAAACTTGGACCCTGTAAACCCTAGCACTAAATATTAATATTATACATGATGAATTGTAGGTGTAATCATTATATAAACATGTTTCTACAAAGACACTGGGAATCAGGACTTCTGTAAAATAAAATGAAACAATACAAAACAAATCAAAGTGAGTATTATAATTCCCTTCCATTTCTTTCATAGAGTTAAGAAATCAAAATGAGAGCACATCTAGTCCCATTTTATAGCAATAAAAAATGACTAATTCATAAATGAACATGTTCTTTCATTAAGACTAGAAATTCTAGTAGAAATAGCTCATCATTTTACTATCAGCAATAAATTTTTGAGAATTCTTCTAAAACAATCTCTTTTTTGGGACAGTGGTTCTCATATTTGTTTGGATGGCAACGAACAAGCAATTGAGGATACTCTCTCTGGAACCCCCCAAATGATCATGTTGTACTTAATAGTATCATAAGAACTAGAAAAAACTTTACTAGATATCTATCTATCTATCTATATATGTAAGTGCAACTCTCTAATTACAATTGCAACGTGTGTGTATATATGTGTGTGCATATACATGTGTGCATATATATATTCTCCAATACAAAAACCCCAACCACAAACTACTATCTATGAAAAACGTAAACAAGTTCGGGGCAATTTTTCCATTAACACCGATTTGGTATTTGTTAATAACAACGCTAACGCTCCAAATATTTACTATGTGGCAAGCAACAGGCCAAACTGATTTATATGTGTATCTTCTAAGGGAAGGTGTTCTCTTTCCGGGTCCACAAGGGGGCGTAGTTTTAAGCACAAGAACTTCCTAGCGACATGCCCCCCTCCCATCTCACTCCATCCAGGAGATTTAATGGTTTGTGTTTGAATTTCGCAGGCACGGGAAGAAACTAAGAGTCAGTAACTCCAGTAGAAGTTCTAAAGAACTCCTTTCATTGGCCTGAGGTCTTAGAGAAGGTGGGGATTCCTCCCAGGTTAAAAGTCCCCTTCTTCCACACTCCTTAGGACTCCATGTTTGGATCCCCTTCCACAAACACTCCCTTTGTGGAAGCTGTTTTTCTCTATCCTGGATTTTCCCTCTGGAGTCCTCTTCCACACTCTCTCATGGAAGCCTGTCTTCTCCTAAACTCCATCTCTCTCTCTCCATTCCGTAACACTCTAGTGGAAGCTGCTTTCCTCTCCTGGATTTCATCTTTCTGGATTCTCTCACTCAGTGTGAGAGCTGTTTCTTTCTCTCTCCTTCTCCTGTTTCTCTCCCTCTTTAAATAAATCACTTTCTACAAACACTTTTGAGTCCAGCATTTACTGCACACTGCACTGTGGTCCCCTCTCTCATTCATGAGAGGGCAGGAGACCAAGAACCTGGAGAAATGTCCTCTGAGGGGAGCTGAGGGCATCCTGAACCCTTGAACCCCAATATTACATTACTTAAAACTTCCCCATCTCAAAGTATTTAGTATGTGATGGGCTACAGGCCAAACTGATTTATATATATGTCTTACTTATAACTTATGCATCTTACAACCACAAAAGACAGCCATTATTAGTTTCATTTGACAGTGAAACAACTGAGATTTCTAACACGTTAGATGTACTCTACCCCAAGTTCAAAGTACTGGTTAAATGGTACAGTGAGGACTCCATCCCAAGCTTGATTCAAACTTGTTTTTCTAATCATAACACTATTCTTCTACATTGCAAAATAAAATCTAAACAGATTTAAGTATTTTACATAATCATATCCAAATTTTTAAACTAATCAGAAAAGACCAATACTAATCAAATTTTAAAAATTTTTTTGGGGAGAAAGGGTCTCATTCTGTCCCCCAGACCGGAATGCAGTGGCATAATCATGGCTTGCTGCACCCTCCACCTCCCAAGCTCAATCAAGCCTTCTGCCTCAGTTTCCCAAGTAAGAGGGATTATAGGCACGTACCACCATGCCTGGCTAATTTTAAAATATTTTTTTGTAGAGGACAGAGTCTCACTATTTTGCCTAGGCTGGCCTTGAACCCCTGAGCTCAAGCGATCCTCTCACCTCAGCCTCCCAAAGTGCTGGGATTACAGGCATAAGCCACCATGCCCGGCCAACATTAAGCAGTTTTAAGAGTGGAACATTAGTTTAAGTTGAAGAATCACTTAAAAGATGCTATAAGAAGACTCCTATTAATTATGTATTCTGAAAATGACTCCTAAGTTCCAAATCTAATGTGCTTTTGTTAAGCACACAGGGAAAGAAATCCAGCTGTGTCAGCTGGATCTCAAATAAAGGCCTTCTTATTAGAGCATAAGCCAACTGTAAAATCAATCCACCCACCTAAATACTCAAAAGACAGAGATTTTTAGAGAATAGATGTTTTAGGGGATAATAAACTAAATCCACTCTGCCTTGTTTTTAGCAACTTTGGAATTTACTTAATTTGAAGGAGGTACATGGGCCAGTGTTGCAACAAAAGAAAAAGACAAATAACTCTTAGTCTTCAGTGTAACTGCTATTTGCTAAAGAAAATATTACTAACATATTTAGTTCTATAGGGAGTCCTCTGTCAGTATTATCCTAAGTATCAATAATTTTTAATTTTATAATATTAGAATTAGTATATTTATAGCCATACTCAGAAAGCCAGAAAACTATCTAAAAATAATTCTTGCAATGAGAACTATGAAAAAATTATTCAGCAGCACAGCTCAAATGTGTCTAGCTCAATTCCACTTAAAATCTTATTATTCCGGAGTGAAATTTTACAAAAAGACAAAATGTCTTTAGTCTGCCTTAGAGAACTACTAAAGACAAGAAAATCTGTTAAATAATCATTAAATTTTAAAATAATCTTAAATGAAGGCTTAAAATATGTGTACCTTATAATATCCATTGCCTGGTAAAGTATTTCAGATTGATCAACTCCCAGAACCTTCTTCGCCCCGGCTTTAGCAGCAAACATAGAGAGAATTCCAGTTCCACACCCAACATCCAAAACCACCTGTAGTAATAAAACAAACAAACAAAAAAAACCAGATGTTATCAGAAAGGTCTTTTATATTAAATTCTATCCATATATTATGATGTTTCTGACTAGGAAAAGATCACAATAAAAATTTTAAATTTTACTAAACAAATACACAGTAATTTCTAATTGGGAAAACTGAAGATATTATTACTATGAGTTGTTTTAAATTAGTAACAGCATAGTTGGTCATAGTCTGTTGTAATTAGACCCAACAATGCTAAATTTCAGAGATTTTATATAAAAAATTATTTCTAAAAAAAAAAAAATATGTATGTAGGTTTAATAGAGAATTACTGTTTTTAATTTCCTTATTGTATGTATATTCTATTTTAGGCTAATTCTACATTTTAACAGAAATAAATTTCTTCAAGTTTGAGTGGCAGGAATTAACTTGAGCAGGATAGCCTGATCCAATACAATTTAAAAAGGGTTATAAAGTAATCAAGGATATGGAATACCACTACATCCTTCCTACTCTCAAAATTAAATATTCAGCCCATTTTAACTGCAAAGTGCAATAAAAAGTTAGCTGTCAAAATTCAGTAACTTGAGAGTTTAAGTTGTAAAAATGGTAATTCTTGGTGAAAGAAAAGTATTTATTAGAACCAAAAGCTTAAGATGCTATCGGGGGTGGGTGGGGAGCAATTATTTATGTCAATAATTTAATAATGGTTTTCCCTGGAATAGTATAGGGAAGCCTACTTAGTTCATAGTAAAAACAAAAGCAAGTCACCAAGGAAACACATTTAGCAAAATCCTTGTAAGTACATTACTCTGTGAAATTACTGAAAACTACTGCTTTAAATCTTTCATTATCAATGGCCTAAAAATCTTACATACTTGTCCCAAAATATGAAATTATTTCAGTGCTCTCATACTGTAAGTATTCACTAAGCATTACTAAGTACCGGAAACTGATTTCAGTGATGGGGTACAGCAATAAACAAGACCAAATCCCTGACTTAATGGCACATACAATCTTGTGAGAGAGACAGATAATGAATAAACAAAGAACATACAATAAGGTCAGGCAGTAAGAAAAATCAAGCAGAGCAGAGGTTAAGACCAGAGGAGAGGAGAAACACTCTTTCTTGTACCATTCTAGATAGGCCTGACAATACTTCTCTGATACATGTGAGCAGAGAACTGAATAAAGAAGTGTCATGCGAAGTTCTAGGGGAAGTGCATTTTAGTCATGGAGGGTGTTAACTGCAAGGCCCAATATTCCAGGCAAAGCCAAGATGCCCAGTGCGGCTAAGCTGGGTTCAGAAAGAGGACACTTGGTGAAGTCAGATCACAGAGTACCTTGGATTTTACTCTGAGTAATGGGAAACTATCCTAAGAAAAATAAAACTAGAATTAAGAATCAATTCTACTGTATACCAATTTTTTTTCTCACTAGGCAATAGAATATCGTTTAAACATCGGGTACGTTTTCTATCCTTTAAAAAATTTATTTTATGTACATTACAATTCAATACATGTTTTTCCTTTTCCTTTTACACATGATAGCCTGTTATACCCCCTGTGCTTCATATTGTTTTTTTTTTTTTTTCTTAGCAATACAAATTAGAGATCTCTCCATATCAATTTATAGAACTCCTTTCTTTTATGTAGCTGTATAGGATTCCACATTATGGCTGTTTCACAATCCAGTTCTCTACTGATGAACATTTTTAGGTGTTCCTGAAATCTTAGTAGGACAATAAATGCTGTAAATAACTTCATATCTAAGCCCATTCCCATGAATCAGTAAATCTAAAGAATATATTCCTAGAAGTGAAAACACTTATGTCAAAAAGTATATACATATTTGTAATTCTGCTAGATATAACCAAATTGATCTTATAGGGCAATTCTGCTAATGAAGACTCCAATGAGCAATGAATTAGTACTAATTTCCTCACAGGTGAAACTAGCCTATGAAATATATAATGAAACTTTTGGATGTCTACCCATCTGGCAATCACAAAATAATGATATGTTAATTTAGTTTTAATATGCATTTCTCTTATGCGATTTAGCATCATTCCAGGTAGTCATCTGTAGTTTTATGTGAACTATCTTCTCCCCATTTTTCCACGCAATTGCTAATGCTTTTATCAATCTGTGTTAGCACATAAGAGTTCTTTGTAAATTAAGATTAGTCCTCTAAAATCCTCTATAGTATGACATGCAGTGTTTTCTCACAGCATGTATTTTTGTCTTCTGATTCTACTTACAGTGATTTTTGCTATGCCCAAATTCTTTACCTATAATTAAACTTTAATTAATCTTTTCTATAATGTCTTCTGGACTTTGATCATAATTAGATAGGCCTTCCCCAGTCTATCCCATTTCATTCAATTTCATCCTCATACATTTCCTTCCAGTACATTCACAGTTTCATTGTTTGTTTTTAAACCATGGTATACACTAGGAGGCATCGTTCCAACGTTTTGTTCAAATGGCTGACCACTTGTCCCAATATCAGTTATTAAACAAGATTTCCCCCACTGATTTGATACGTGACCTTTAACAATCATTTAAATATTTGTGTATAGCTGCATTTATTAGTGGATTTAAAATCAGTTCTGTTAATCTATATATTCATATGCCAGGAATTATTTTAGTTACTGAAGCTTTATAAAATGGTTTAATATCTAGTAAGTCTGGTCCATGCTCACTGCAAATATTTTTCCACAATGTTTCTGAAAAACTTTTTATTTTTCCATATAAGCAAGAGATTGGTTTGTCTAGGTTTAAAAGTCTTAGCATTTTTATGAGACATGAACTAAAATTTAGGAAAAATAATTGTGAGTTTTCCTATTTAAGAACCTGGTATGACTTCTAATTTGTTTAAAATTGTCTGTTAGGTACTTTGTTTTTAAAAAAATTTTTTTTATATAAGTGCTGCATATTTCTAGTTGTTCACGTCTATGCATTTTAAGTTCCATATTACTTGCTCTTATAAGTGAAGTTTTCCTTCCCTTATTATCTTTATTTTCTTAATTTTTGAGTCAGAGTCTTACTCTGTTGCCCAGGCTGGAGTGCAGTGACACAATCTCAGCTAAATGCAACCTCCACCTCCCTGGTTCAAGTGAGTCTCCCGCCTCAGCCTCCCAAGTAGCTGGGATTACAGCGGTCTGCCACCATGCTCAGCCACTTTTTGTGTTTTTAGTAGAGGTGGGCTTCACCATGTTGTCCAGGCTGCTCTCAAACTCCTAACTTCAAATGATCTGCCCAGCTTGGCATCCCAAAGTGCTGGCATTACAGGCGGGTGCCACCATGCCCAGCTCCTTCCATTATATATTGAAAATATAATTTATTAGTATTGACTCCAGAAGAGAGAAAATCTTAATAGCCTGATATCCACTGAAGAAATAAAGTTGTCGAAAGGCTATTACTTTGTGCTTCCTGTCTTACGCCCAGATGGTTTCAGTGGGAATTTGATTGTTCTTGAACACATGGCCTGTCTGGGTGAGTAAATATATCTTAACATAATTACTTTTACAAACATTAAGAACTTTATTTTAACATGTAATCTATATACATCACTGCAAACAAAAAGAATTTTTTAAAAGTTCCGGATAAAATGTATTAACCAAAATGGCAAGCAAACAGTATATTATATGGTATATATGTATACAGTACAATTAAAGTACATCAACTTGAAATAGTATATGGAAGAAAATGAAAATAAAATAGAAAAATATACACAATAGAATAGTATGTAATAAGTTTCCAGAAACTCTGATTAAAATAAAACACTTGCAAAACTAAAAAATTAAAAATAAAAGATCAGTGTAGAATACAGAAGTTTGCTAAAAGTACTTTGGTGATAGTATCCGGGAAGATCAACACTCCCTTGCTGTGTACCAATGACAAGCTGGTAGCACAACTGGTGACCCCATACATGGTATATACCCTTTTTGACCTAGGGAGTCCAATGCTAAAAAATTACCTTATAATTGTACTCCCATATATAAATATAATATTTATATATATATTTTTAATATTTCATACGAAGCATCATTTCTAATATAAAAACAAATAACTTACGGACACTCTTACAGTGGATATATGAACCATTAAAAGAATATTAATGAAAAGATGCTCAAAAATCACTAATCATTTAGAAAAACACAAATCAAAACAAGTATTACCTAACAACAATTAGAATAGCTATTATCAAAAAACTAGAAAACCACAAGTATTGCTAAGGATATGGAAAACTGGAACCCTTGTGTACTGCTGGTAGGAAAACAAAATGGTATACCCAATGTGAAAAACAGCACAGTGGCTCCTCAAGGAATTAAAAATGGAGTTACCATATGACCAGCAATTTCATTTCTGGGTATATGCCCAAAAGAATTAAAAGCAGGACCTCTAAGAGATAGTTGTACACTTATGTTAATAGCAGCAATATTCACAATATCTTTAACATAGAGGTAACCCAAACATCCACAGAACGATGAAAGAATGGATAAGCAAAATATCGTAGATACATAACAATGGATTATTGAGCCTTAAGAACAAAAAAAATTCTGACATTTGCTACAACAAGGTCAAACCTTGAGGACATTACCCTAAGTGCAATAAGCCATTCACAAAAGGAAATATAGTCAGCCACTTGTATCCCCGGGTTCCCCATCCAGGGAGTCAACCAACCACTAATCAAAAACATTAGGGAAAAAAATTTGCAACTGTACCTGAACATGAAGTCTTCTTTCTCTAGTTACTATTCCCTAAACAATACAGTATAGGCCGGGCGCAGTGACTCACACCGGTAATCCCAGTATTTTGGGAGGCCAAGGCGGGCGAATCGCGAAGTAAGGAGATCAAGACCATCCTGGCTAACACAGTGAAACCCCGTCTCTACTAAAAATACAAACAATTAGCTGGGCATGGTGGCATGTGCCTGTAGTCCCAGTTACTTGGGAGGCTGAGGCGGGAGAATCACTTGAACCCAGGAGGAGGAGGTTGCAGTGAGGCAAGATTGTGCCACTGCACTCTAGCCTGGGTGACAGAGTGAGACTGTCTCAAAAAAAAAAAAAAAAAAAAAATTATATATATATATATACACACACACATACGTATACACACACACACACACACACATACACACATAGTATAACAACTATTTATATAGCATTTACATTGTATTAGGTATTACAAGTAATCTGGAGATGATTTAAAGTATACAGGAAGGTGCACACAGGTTGTATGAAAACACTACACCATTTTATATCAAGTAAATGAGCATTTGTGGATGCTGGCATCCACAGAGGGTCCTGGAACTCAAGGATATAAAGGGCTGACTGTATTTCCTTTGTGACAGACACTGAGGGACGACTTTACTGTAAGATTCCATTTATATGATGTATATGAGTAGTCAAAATCATAGAGACAGAAATAGTGATTGCCAGGGGCTGGGAGGGAGACAGAATAGGGAATTATGTTTTAACGGGAATAGTTCCAATTTTATAAGACGAAGAGTTTTAGAGATAGAGGTGGTGATCGCTGCATGACATTATAAACGAATTTAATACCACTGATCTATACACTTAAGGATAGTGAAGATGGCAAACTTTATGTCATGTGTCTTTTACCACAAGAGAAAACATGGGGAAAAAAGATAGTAAGAAATGATCTCCAAGAAAAGCTGCTGAGTGAAGAAAGTTAAGTACAGAAGAATGTTTAGTATACTCCACTTAGAGTATGTATTTTTTGGTAAGACTATACAAATACACATTCAGATATAATGTATATACAATACATATATGTGTATGTGTAAAAATCCTTATTTAATCCTCATTTTGCAAATGAAGAATGAGAGCTTTAGGGAGGCAAGGAAATAGGTCTAGGGTGGCCAGGCATGGTGGCTCACACCTGTAATCCCAGCACTTTTGGAGGCCAAGGTGGGTGGATCAAGAGGTCAGGAGATCAAGACTAACATGGTGAAACCCCATCTCTACTGAAAATACAAAAAATTAGCCAGGCGTGGTAGCGCACGCATGTAAGTCCCAGCTACCGGGGAGGCTGAAGCAGGAGAATTGCTCGAACCCAGGAGGCGGGGGTTGCAGTGAGCTGTCCAGCCTGGTGACAGAGCAAGACTCCATCTCACAAAAAATAAAAATAAAAAAAAAGAAATAAGTCCAGGGTCATACAGCTGATAAATTGTAGGACCTGTATTTAAACACAGGTTAACCTGCTTCTAAAACCTTTATTTTTAATTGTATGTTAATTATTTATTATATCTAGCTTAGAATTAGGTGATCAAGTAGAAAAAGTAAAATTTGATAGAATCAAAGAGGTAGAAGAGAATGAATCAACATTACTTTATAAATGATGAGAAAATTTGATTCATTTTTTTCTTAAAAAAAAAAAAACCAAAAAAACTGAAGTGTAACTGTAGATAATAACCAGAAGCATAAAGGCACCTAACTGGGAATTTCTTCAATAAACTACAAACAGAAATTAATTATGAGTGGGTGACAACACGATTAAATACCTCCCAAAGTTAAATTAATCTGAGAAACCATATGGCCTCCACAGGAGCTTTGTGATTTGAAACAATATTAAGAAAAAATGGAAGAAAAGGAGGCTGGGAGGAAGAAATGAAGAGAAGTGAAGGGAAAAAGGAAGGAAAACATTTTTAATAATAATACTTAATATCTTGATTATTAATTTTGTGATTACTATACTTGAGCCTGTTCATTATTTACTTACCTATTATAAGACAAGTACATTCAGAAGCATACTGAAGGAACATTCTAACTTACTTTCTTAATAAGCTCCTCTGGTATTCCTATCATCGCCTATTAAGAGAAGATGGCTCAAAGAAAGGCAATGATGATGTTCACCATAATAAAGCCCACAGAATTTTAGAACCAGAAATAATTTTTACAATCACCTTACAGGTTAGGCCCAAAGAGATCCACTTGCCCAAAATTATATAACTGGTTCCAACTAGCCAGGATTAGTGATTCTCATGTTTAATCTCTACACAACATATTAAGGAAAAAATAAAACAAAAATCTGGGCATAATCTAACCAGAAATATAAAGCAACATTATTGACAGTAACATAATTTGCTTCACTAGAAACAAAGTGGTTTTTAGACAAACATTCAACTTTCCAGCACTTATTTTGCAAATATAAAAACTATGAAAACTCTCTACTATAGAAATATGTAGAAAGCATACAAAAATGCTAAATATAAAAAACTGATAACTATAATTTTTAAATGAAATCATTTATTTGTCTATGGTGGGAGTCAGCATAAACAATTATAAATCTTTCATTGGGGCAATGCTTTGGCAAAGTATATCAGTGCACTATATAAATTACAGTACGTCTGTCCAATTAAGCTAACTCACAAGTGAGACACTGCTCTTAAAAAAGAGGTATGGAAAATGAAAAGCCAATCCAGATTATATTCCAAACAATATAAAAACCAGAAAAAAGGATTTTTAAAACTTAAAAGTTGTTGCTGCTGTCATATCATGTAAAGCCTATGAAATAACCTTAGATGAAAGTGGAATTATAACAGCCGAATACATTATCAGTAATTAAAACTGCCTGATACATTATCAGTATACATGTTCTCAAAGTAAAAAGCGTAGTAAAAAATTCCCAAGGAAAGGTATATAAATGGAAGAGATCATAATATTCCTGATTAAATTAGGGGACTAATTTCCCATCAGGAAGAACAAATAGAAAACCCAAACTTTTAAGTAACCATGCCAATGTGGAAAGGGAGGAAAAGAGAGAGGGGAAAAGGGAGTAAAGAAAAAATGGAAAAAATAAATGTGTAAGGAAGAAAAGTCAAAAAATACAAATTTCGAACACACAGGCACATGCACACACGGAGTATAAGATCATTTTTTAAATAACTTGAGGCAATATTAAAACTATAAAATATAAGGTATCTCTTAAAGGAGTAAAGTATAAAATAAAGCATATAAAATAAATACCATATTACAATAGTGAACCCTACTTATTATTCTTAAAATAATTTTCAATTACTTTCAACACTAGAGTAATAATTAAAAGTGTGCTATGACATGGTGCTTATCTGATACATTTAAAATTCATGGGAATAACTAAATAAAAAATACGGTTTAAGCAAAATTATCTGAATAAGCAAAGTTTAACTAAGCTGTCATTGTAATTAACTTTCAGTTTTAAAAAAGGGCACACTGAATGACAGCAGCAATCAGCATTTCTGTTATCAGTACTCTGCACCACCGAGCAGCATCATAAAAGTCTTCCATGAAATAAAGACAGAGTATGTTAAATCAGTTGCTATCACAAGGATGACCCAAGAGAGGATTTCTACTGCCCCCCAAAAAACATTAAATGTATAGTTCTATAACTTATGCTACTTACCTTGTCTTTGAAGATATGTGGATTTTGGTATATGAAATCTCGGTAGCTTTCTGTTCGTATTTTGTCCTAGTGTGGGGAGAGGAAAATGCTGTTTATATGACAGTCAAAACAAATACATTTTTTTAAAGGGAGATATTTGCCATTTTATCACACACTGCTAATTTGCCATTTTATCACACACTGCTAGTTTCCATAGCAGTTTTTATACTTGGGATATCAAATTTATTTTTTCTCCTAAGAAAACAATAAATAGAAATAGCAACAACACACAAAATATTTTAAGAAGACTGAAAAGGCCGGGCACGGTGGCTCAAGCCTGTAATCCCAGCACTTTGGGAGGCCGAGGCGGGTGGATCACGAGGTCAAGAGATCGAGACCATCCTGGTCAACATGGTGAAACCCCGTCTCTACTAAAAATACAAAAAACTAGCTGGGCATGGTGGCGCGTGCCTGTAACCCCAGCTACTCAGGAGGCTGAGGCAGGAGAACTGTCTGAACCCAGGAGGCGGAGGTTGCGGTGAGCCGAGATCGTGCCATTGCACTCCAGCCTGGGTAATAAGAGTGAAACTCCGTCTCAAAAAAAAAAAAAAAAAAAGAAGACTGAAAAATAAGACCCAAGTTCTTAAAAATGTATATATTTTCCTCTTTACATCCATAATTAAAGCTAACAGAAGATGAACATGTTTTGCTCCTTTCAATACGTCCTGGAAACTATAGCCTGATTCCCTGTACTACAGCTATATTAAAATAAGGGAGAAGCCAAGTGCAGTGGCTCACACTTGTAATCCCAACACTCTGGGAAGCTGAGGCAGGATGCTCACTTGAAGTTACGAGTTTGAGATCAGGCTGTGCAACAAAGTAAGACCTTATCTCTAAAAAAATAAAAATAAAAATAAAAATAAGGGAGATAAAAAATAAACAAATGTAAACATTGTAGCTACATATGAAAAATTACACTGAACTGGGTATGTTTTTCTAAGAAAGTCACTGATCACCACCTATCTGATTTACATTCCTGTTTTGTTTGTAAAAATTTCTTTAGCAGGAAATGATGTTTAAAAGCCTGTAAGCCTAAAAGTAAATCATTTGAGCCCTGCAGCCCACATTATAAGACTCCTACATTCTGAAGTCTCATATAACCTGTGACCAAGGCAAGCATGCAACTCTAACATTCATGCTGGTTCATGAACAGAGTTGACTCCCTAGACTGAAACACATACTGTCTGCAAATTAAGCAGTTAGGGGCTCTGCTCTCAAGTAAGTGAAATACGAGTGTGATAAAAGTAAATATCACAGAATGGGAATTATAGTTTTAAGTCTCACATTAGGGTGAAAAGAAACTATTACGCCAATTGCTACAATATCAAATTTTATACAAATCACATCCCCAAAACATTCTGCTGCCAATATTGAAATTTTTAAAAAAGCATAAAAGGAGATCTTACAGGGCAAGTTGTTTTACTTAAGTACTAGACCTAAAAAGGGAACTGTCCATACTTAATTCCATGTTTTCTGATTATTTCTCACTGCTTTACAAAAAAGTTTTAAAATTAGTCTTACTAAATCTTCTCCTGAAGTTATTTGAATTACTAAAATAAATTTATATATATTAACTAGTTACGTAATTTTAAAACTCATTTTTACAAATTTTACACTCTTCTGATACTATAACCAGTGATTTCTGCTGAAACAACAAAACCTACACAGGGTGAACATCAGTCAGGAATGCAGTCATTCAGAAAGCTCGCACCAATCATCTGCCTCGCCACTACTTCAACTTAATCAACAGAATTCCAGCTGCTGTCCTAACTCCATGCACTGCTGCTCAACTCAACTACAATCTTTCATTCTGGCTCTTTCAATATATTCATCTGTTTTTGTTTGTATGCTCATGCTGGTTTAACAAAATCCCAAGTATACTAAACATAGTGCCTTATATATAGAAGAGCTTCAATTTAGTCACCGAATTTTTGAAAAAAAAAAAAAAAAATCCAATAAATATGAAAATGCAAGCAAATAAGAGAGTAGCCTTTATAACCATTTCTAAAAATTTATTCTAACAAAGGCTAACATGTCAATAAAAAACAATAAGCAGAAATTTAAAATTTTTTTTATATCAACCTTGAAACTAAGAAAAATAAAATAACAAAATTATAGCTCCAATGCTTAGGAGCAAGATAATATTTTAAGCCTAGTAAAGTATCATTAAATTATTCCCACAAATATTTAAAAAAGAATGAAGGTAAAGAAAAAAGTTATATGCTATAAATTTTACATATACAAACAACAGTATGCTTTTAATTGACAAGCTCGTGAAGGTGGACCGAGTGCATGAGACAGGTGCAGATACGATAAAGAGAATGCAGTAAAGGAAAATTACTGAAATTTCAATTTACTAAATGGTACTATGATCTGTGATTAATGTACAACAGGATGAATAATGTTTCTCTTAAAACAAAGAAAAGTGATGCATTTCAATTTACAGTATTAGTCAACCATGACTCTTCTTCAAAAAGATAAAGTGGTAAGGAATTTTGAAAGTTCATGTAATCTATCCCTCTATCAGTTATATCTCTGGAATTCAAAAAAGGTATCTTTATCTTATCTGAAGAAATAAGATCGCAACCTACTTTTACTTGAAACTATAATCAAAACATGTACCAAAAATAATGTCACTAAAAGACATGAAACTAAGCAACAAAAAAATCCAAATTAAACTGTATAAAAACAAGGCCAATTCCAAGCATAAAAATATGTCCTGTAAATATGATTTCTCAATTTTAAGTAATTTATAAAAATTAGGTAAGATTCTAGTAGTAATATGCCTTGAACAGTTTATGTGTGCTAATAATCGTTCTGATAAGAAACAAGAAATAGAGCTGTGATATAAGGCATGCTTCACATTTATGCACAGCACATAACCTAGCAAAATGGATAAACAGTTCTTTTTGAATCAACTATCCGTATTTCCTCTAGACATTTAATCAGATCATTTCCAAGGGGAGGAAATTACATTGCATAAGAAGCTAAGGCACACAGAATGATATTTAAGTGCTTCTCTCAAAGAGAAAAGGTGGCATTGGAAATTTCAAGTTGGAACTTCTTAAATCAATATGTACATCAAAAGCAGTTAAAGATACCAGATCAGGTATGAAACCTTACAGTTACTGACATATAGTTACAAATGTCTAGGGTAAAGATTTGTAAATTGTAAGTACTCAAACTGAATTTCCCTAATGATTGTAATTACAACATTCATATCTATTAAAAGTTTCAGTGACCTTTAACATGTCTGAAAAGCCCAACAATTTCCATACCAAAGGAATTCAAGGTTTACAGTATTTAAGCAATGGGGTAATTTAAAATGACAAACATGGACCTAGATAAACCTTTAAATATTCTAAACATAATAAATAAAATTAATTTTAATAAAGAAATGAAGCAAGTCAATTTCTTTTCAACAAATCCACTGAGACTTAAAATAATGTATTACTTACAATAAGGTATCTATTATTTATAATGCTATGCTATTACTCAAGTGACAACAAAAAGCACAACCATGACATGTAATTAGTAATGACATGACAGTTTTAAAAGATCCCACATAAGTACAATTATCAATTACCAAACTTCTGTTCTGTGATCCAGCAAAACTGAATCAACAAAATATATACACGTTATCAAATATCTCTGGTTAGCTTAAATGCTTATGCTTCAGGGAAACCATAAAATAAAATAGTATCTGGAGGAAGAATTTAGAAAGGGATATTTTGTTTGTTGGCTTTAAGAACAGGTAATGGTGGCATCTAAAATTCAGAGATAAACATCTAAAATTTTCAATTTTTACACTCCGACATTTATTTTACTCTATATTCTCAATTTTGCTGAACTAAAAATTACATCTTCCTATTTTACAATCTACAATACTTAATAAAATGTATAATTACCAAATACAGCTAGAATTCAACTTCTATTTTATATGGATAATACCATTATAAAAATTAAAACAAGCCAGATTTAAGTACAGTCACATGTTGCCTAATGCTAGGGATACTTCCGAGACATTTGTTGTTATGTGAACATCATAGAGAATATTTCACACATGAAGATAGTATATAGCCTACTACACACCTAGACTCTATAACATAGCCTATTACTCCTAGGCTACAAACCTGTACAGCATGTCACTGTACTGAATACTGTAGGCAACTGTAACACAATGGTATTTGCGTATCTAAGCATATCTACACACAGAAAGGTACTGTAAAAATATGGCATTATAGTCTCATGGAAGCACCTTCACATATGCAGTCTGATTGACCAAAACATCAGTATGCAGTGCACAACTTTAACTAATTTGACCAATTCAGGAAATACTCCTAATTCAAATGTAAAAAAGTTACACCATAATAATTGTAAGATTTATAATTGAACTTATATATCAAAGAATTATTACTGACCCAACCAAAAGTCAGTATGGCTATTTAAAACATTGAAATTAATCATTTCCTAAACACGTTAAAAGGCAAATATATAATTTAATCCATCTAATTGTTCCTATTTAATAGTTGCTCTTGAGAAGACTAAAATAGTCAAGTTTTCCCAGTATTTTAAGGAAAAGGCGATTTCATAAAAAGATTAATATAATAATGATTTTAAATGGAAAGTATAAGTGACTGATGGCTCTGTAACCTTTTTCTTTTTTTCATAATAGAGACAGGGTCTCACTATATTGCCCAGTCTGGTCTTGAACTCCTGGGCTCAAGCAATCCTCCTGCCTCGGCTTCCAAAAGTGCTGGTATTACAGGTGTGTGCCACTCTGCCCTTGTAATATTTTCAACCTAAGATGAGCTAATAAGCACCAAAGAGGTATTTAAAAAGCAGTTCTCCCCACCCCCTCCCCCAAAAAGGGGTCTCCTACAGGGTACATATATATTTAAAAACCTGTTCTATTTTTCCTTTAGTTAGGATTTGGGGCACTTGTGTTCTTTTCTAACCTTTAGCATTTCTTCATGTATCCCATAATGCCCGTATGAGCTGAAATAAACACAATCCTCATCCTCCTGGAGGTCCGCAATGGCACTAGTAGATGACGAGCAGGTTCTGACATCTGCGTTCATCACAAAATCCTGAGCAAATTGTCTGTAATCAATTTGAAATACACCCTTGAGACAGGTTTACTGGACCATGAATAAAGGAAAGGCTAGAGGTTGAGGAAGAGGAAAGAGCAGGGAGTAAGTGTGATGAGCCTTTGAGTAACTGAAAGCTCCCCCTGCTGGATCTGAAGCAATGGCAATATTCAAAAACAATTTTAGGCATTCCTTCAAACCATGAAAGCAATGCCAACTGCAGATTATAGCTCTTTATGTCTTTCAACTGAAAAAAATAAGCATATTACTTCTATTATCCTCTATTATTTCTATTGTTTTAAAATCCCTTTTAGCAACTTAATCAATATAGTATATTTCAGCTCTATTAACATTCTTTAAAAACCATATTAATTTCTTGGGAATGTTATTCAAGCAGAAAGTAGAACCAACTAGGTAATTATTTACATACACCAGTACCACCCACTCCAGCTCTTAAACTTAGATCCCTCTCAGATCATGACATATTAGGAAACTACAAGGTATACGTAAGGGGGAAGTGCAAAGGGGCAGAAGGTCAAGTTGGTATTGGTTACAAGGTTATTTAGCATAAAAATTTTGACATAGGAAAGAGAAACTACAATTAGCTCTACTATCTTTCCTGCTGGACATTCATTCTAGCAAACCCTCAAATGGGTACTAACACAACAGCAAACGGCTTACAAATCCAACAGGAAGATCTGTCAGAAACGCAGATCTTGTTAGAAACGCAGAATCTCAGGCCCTACTCTCAATCTCTCAGAGTCTACATTTTAACAGGATCCCAGTTGACTCCTACGTACATTAAACTTTGAAAAGCACTACACCAGTAGAACACTAATTTACACAATGGAAAAACTGTCACTGTGTATCTGGTTTTCTGGTTTCATACTATACCATAATTATATTTTGATTCTTTCTTTTTTTGTCACCGAGACAAAGTCTCGCTCTGTTGCCCAGGCTGGAGTGCAGTGGCTCCATCTCGAATCACTGCAACCTCCACCTCCCTGATTCAAGGAATTCTCCTGCCTCAGCCTCTCAAGTAGCTGGGATTATTGGCATATACCACCACACCCGGCTAATTTTTTATTTTCAGTGGAGATGGGATTTCAACATGTTAGCCAGGCTGGTCTCAAACTCCTGACCTCGTGATCCACCCACGTTGGCCTACCAAAGTGCTGGGATTACAGGCATGAGCCACCAAGCCCAGACTACATTTTGATTCTTTAAAAATAAAAATTTCAACCGTTTTTTTTTTCCCCCAAACCTCAAAAAGATTAATCCCTCCACTTAAAATCTAGGATAGAAAAAGCAACATGGAGAAATCAACTGGAAACAGGAAAAATGAAAGGAAGGCAATATTAAAGAACAAAAACATTCATGAAAACAACATTTGTCAGAACATATCAGAATAGGTAAAATCATAAAATTTTATATTAACTATATGCATAACGTATAAAAATGCTGCATCTCTTTAACAGTATGAAGATAAAATACCTACGTTGTACTTTCCAGTATATAAAATGTTCTACTATATTCTACCTTGCCATTGGTTGTATTATTTTGGGTATCTAAACAATTAATTTTTGTAAGATTGATAAATTACTTCATTTTTTGCAGATCCTCACGTGCTCTAGCTAAGGCGGCTTCAGCAGACAGTGCCCTGGCTTCCATATGTTTCAATTTTTCAAGAACAGATGTATTTTCACTGAGTCCACTGGGGTATGAGAAGGGTACTGACACCGGTTCATAAAGATCTTCTACATCTAAGGAAATAAATGGACATTATTATCAGGCCATCTTATAATAATAAAACAAGTAAAAATATGTTAAGAATAAACATGCCCTAAGTTTTTATTATGTGGCCAATTGAGAAAGATTAGTGAAAGTCCTTTTAATTAAATATTTATCATCTTGGCTGGGCGTGATAGCTCATGCCTGTAATCCCAGCATGCTGGAAGGCCGAGGCAGGCAGATCACTTGAGGCGAGTTCAAGACCAGCCTGGCCAACATGGTGAAACCCTGTCTCTACTAAAAAAATACAAAAAAATCAGCAGGGCCTGGTGGTGCAGGCCTGTACCCTCAGAAGACTGAGGCAGGAGAATCGCTTGAACCTCGGAAGTGGAGGTTGCAGTGAGCCGAGATCACGCCACTGCACTCCAGCCTGGCACCTGGCAACAGAACAAGACTCTGTCTCAAAAAAAAAAAAAAAAAAAAAAATTAATTAATATTCATCATCTAAACTGTTTCAGTTTGAATTCAAATAGCATGCTGTTAATCTAAGTTTTTCATTACTTGGCTAATGTGAACACATATTTAAGTATTAATTATACTCAACCAAATCCAGGAAGAAAGAAAAAAACCTAATATTTACTGATCAGCAGGTATCTTTCAAATACATCATTACATCTCATTTATTCTCAAAACAAAGCTAAGATATATTTATCCCTATCTTAGGCATGGAAAAAATAAATTTCAGATAAATTAAGTGACTATTCCAAAGTTATATATCTGTTGATGGAGGAACTAAGATTTAAACCCACACCTGCCTTCCCAGCTCACGTTCTTGCCCTTACACAAAGCCACCTCCTAGCCCATGTCCTTATTATAGTAGGTATCATATTCAGATATTGCTTAAGGGAAACCCTGTCATGTATGACAATATGAATGAACGTGGAGGGCATTATATGAAGCAAAATAAGCCAGACAAATACTGTGTGATCCCACTTTTGTGTGAAATTAAAAAAAAAAAAAAAAAAAAAAACTCACAGAAGTAGAGAGTGGAAAGGTGGTTGCCAGAGGCTGAGGATCGGGGGACATGGGAAGATGCTGGTCAAAGGGTACAAACTTTCAGCTACAAGATGAGTAAGTTCTGGGCATCTACTTATGGTACAGTGACTGTAGCTGGAAATGCTGCACTGTATACTTGAAATTTGCGGACAGTAGATCTTAAGTGTTCTCACCACAAAAATTAAAAATGGAAAGTGAGGTGATGATGTTAATCAGCTTGCCTACGGTAATCACTTCACAACGTATACACATATCAAATCATCGCACTGTGTACTTGAAATGTACACAATTTTCATTTATATCTTAATAAACCTGGAGGAAAAAAAAAATCCTAACAACAGTGTGTAAAGAATTCGACATATTCAACAATTTTTCATCCCAGGTAAGGTGGAGTGAAATCTATACACTGAAGTCTTATTGCTGATATTTTACTAAATATCCTAATTTCCAGTATTATTTTTAAATTATTGATTTAATTTTAATTTCACTATATATAAATCACTGACTTCTGCAGAACTAACAGCTCTGCAAAGAGATGTTAACATATGTAGTTAGTGAATTTCACAAAATCAGTGCCCATTTACTGGTGTAACTTTCAGACCAACTGAAGGCAGTAAGTAGTGCAAATATTACATTTTCCCCTCAGGATAGCACTGGGAGAAATGTGACTGTAAAAAATCCTATTCAGTTTTTCATTGTGAAGACACGTCTTCAACGTTAGGACAAAATAGCTAAACTTAACGGATGCAAAATACCATAAGAGACTACAGTCCAAGTTGAATTCTTGTTATAAAAGCAGTGCAAAGTATTACTAGTTTCTCATCACTCTGGAAGAATATTGAGTCACTGAGGTTTAAAAACTGCATTCATTATCTAATTCGCCAAAAATTAATGAGCACAACAAAGTATTTCCAAACTACTTAAGGCTGGTGTACCTTATTTTCTACTTCCTACTACAAACCTCATTTTGTATTTTGATTTTAAAACTCTTCAAACTCTTTGGCCAGTTTCTGTTTTGCTTTCTGCTGCAATAAAAATTAGTCATAATAAAAACTTTTTAATGTTAAGAATATGTAGATAATTATATATTAAAGATGAAACTTAGAGATTTGAAAAGGAGAAAGGATTCAGTACACGGTAGATTCCTAACCAAAATATGCTAAAATAGTCTAATTTAAAAGCCTAAACCATATTCAGAAAGACAAATTTCCACATCTACCTTCTGTTTCAGGATGTCCAAATCACAGAGAAAAATTACTGCAAAAGGTGGCCAATTTTTCCATAAAATATAGCAATTACAAATGTGTATAAACCTCACATAAGAGCTCCAAAATACATGAAGCAATTAAAGGCAAAAACAGACAATCCTTTAATCACAGAATTTTGTTCTTTTTTTAAAAGTAAGAGTCTTCTGTCACCTGTATCCCAGGTTCAAGAGATTCTCCTGCCTCAGCCTCCCATGCAGCTGGGATTACAGACACCTATCACCACGGCCAGCTAATTTTTGTATTTTTAGTAGAAACAGGATTTCACGTTGGCCAGGCTTGTCACAAACTCTTGCCCTCAAGTGATCCACCCGCCTCAGCCTCCTGGTGAGCCACGGTGTCTGGCAATTACAGAGATTTAAACACATGCCTCTCAACAATCAAAAGAACTATATAAAATATATCCAAAAAGACATAAAAGATATCTAAATAAAATTATTCAGCACCATGACCTAATTAGCATTTATAGAATACTGCACCCAGTAACTGGAGAATATATATATACTCTCTTCAAATATAAATAGTATGTTCATCAAGAAAGACTATGTCTATGTGCCTGGACATAAAAACAAGTATCAATGAATATATATATATATATATATATATATGTGTGTGTGTATATATATATATATATATATTTATAAACATAGTTTTGCTTTTGTTATTTAGGTTAGAGTGCAATAGTATGATCTCAGCTCACTGCAACCTCTGCCTCTCAGGTTCAAGCAATTCTCCTGTCTCAGCCTCCTGAGTAGCCGGGATTACAGGCACCCGCCACTATGCCAGGCTAATTTTTTGTGTTTTTAGTGGAGACGGGGTTTCTCCATGTTGGTTATGCTGCTCTTGAACTCCTGACCTCAGGTGATCCACCCGCCTCGGCCTCCCAAAGTGCTGGGATTACAGGCGTAAGCCACAGTGAATTTAAATAAATTTAAAATGGTTGAAATGACACAGTATGATCACTGACTACAGTGGAATCAAATTAGGAATCAATTAATAAAAAGCTGTTGTTTCGAGAAAAGAAACCAAACATTAGAAGTTTAAATAATACATTCTCCCATGCATTCAACTGGTTACTTCTTATTAGTCTCTTCCACTGTGTAACAGTTCCTCTGTCTTTGTTTTTCATGATCTTGACACTTTTAAAGGGCACTGATTAGTAATTTTGTAAAACGCCCTCAACCTGGGTTTGTCTGGTATTTTTTCATGATTACATGAAGTTATACATTTTTGGCAATAACACCAGATAAAACATATTGTATCCTCAGGGCATCACATCATGGGCTTCGTGGTGACTATGTCTTATTACTGGTCATATTAACCTTTTACTTGGTTGTGGTAGTTGTCCACTGGCTTTCTTCATTAAAGTTTCTGACTCCTTTGTAGTTAATACATTTCTTTGGAAGATACTTTAATCTACACAAATCCTGTTTTGCCTTAAATTTTTGCCCAGTTATTGTAGCCTCAATTGGTGGATCTTTTCTGCAAGTAATTATTGTGGTATTTGCCTAAAGAGGATTTTCTACTTCTCTTTCCTTCTATATTAACAGGAATGCTATACTATGGTTCAGCTGCTCCTTTTCCATTTATTTATTTGATTATTTTTGTTAGCATGGACTCATGGATATTTACTTCATCCAACAGACTAAAATTAATACTGTTGTTATTTTCTGTGTTGTTCAAATCATTCTAGTATTGGCCATCAGAAACTCCTTCAGGTTGGTTCCTGTGCTCTTTTGATAAGCATTCCTCTTCTTTAAGTACTTCCTTATTTTCTGGCACAAGATGTCCCAGATTCATCTTGTATTTTTCCTCCTCCATGCCTAGAACCAATCATCACTTTAAGGAGCCTTGGTTCCTTTTATTACAGAAAATATTAGAAATTAAGATTTGGGCATTAGCTGCATTCATTGCCATTGGGGTTTTTCTAGGCCCTCTCAGGAAATAGAGCTAGGAAATATATGTATATATACTAACCCACACATGCACACACATCTATTATTTCTGTATCTATCTGTGTATACATTAAAAACTGTAAGTTTATACTGATACCTCTATTTCCAATCTATCATCACAGGATTCATTTTCTTCTTTTCCAGTTCCTTATTAGGAAGTTCTTTCTCTAGCAGTGAGAAATCTGGCTCTTATCATCCATAATGTACATATTTACTTTTTAATTCTAGGATACACAAAAAGTTGTCAGAATTGCTAATCCATAGCCCATAAGAAACACTTTTACTTACTAAATTACAGCATTTATGTAGTTCTTTTGACCTTTGGCCTTGCCACAGTATCAAGACTCCAGTTACTTAGTTTTCCTCCCCAGTCCTTTCCGTGTAGTTATGTTTTTCATTCGTAATACAGTAATGTTTATTCGTTAGTGTTTGTACTCCATTTTGTACCATCACCTTCCTCCCCTACCTACCCCACCACATCCTGGTTTTTTCAATTTTTATTCTTGATTAAAGGAAGACTATGAGAAACACTACTATAATCCCTGAAGTCAGAGCCAGACAAAAAGATATGATTCAGAGAAGTGTCACTCCTTCATTACCCTGTTACCCACTCTCGCTGCACCCTTCTTTTCATCCCTTTCCCACTAACCCCTGGAAGGAAGAAACCCTTTAGTTTCTGATTTATCCTTCTTGTATTTCTTTTGCACAAATGAGCAACATTTGCATTTGCTCAAATTCCTTTTTTTTTTTTGAGACAGTCTTGCTCTGTCACTCAGGCTGGAGTGCAGTGGTGTCATCTCGGTTCACTGCAACCTCTGTCTCCCAGGTTCAGGCAATTCTCCTGCCTCAGCCTTCTAAGTGGCTGAGATTACAAGCGTGCACCACCATGCCTGGCTAATTTTTGTATTTTTAGTAGAGACAGGGTTTCACCATGTTTGTCAGGCTGGTCTCAAACTCCTGACCTCATGATGTGCCTACCTCCCGAAGTGCTGGGGTTACAGGTGTAAACTACCTCACCCAGCCAAATCCCTTTCTTTCTTACATGAAGAGTAGCACAACACACTCTTCTAGGCTTTGGCCTTTTTCATTTAACAGTATGTCCCGGATATCAGTCTGTATCAGTTTTTTTTTTTTTTGAGTCAGGGTCTCACTCTGTCACCTAGGCTGAAGGGCAGTGGTACAATCTCAATTCACTGAAACCTCCCCACCGCCCCCACCCTGCTCAAACAATCTTCCCACCAAAGCCTCCCAAGTAGCTGGGACCACAGGTGTGCACTACCACACCTAGCTATTTTTTTATATTTTTAGTACAGACGAGGGTCTTGCCATGTTGCCCAGGCTAGACCTCCTGAACTCAAGCAATCCGCTTGCCTCAGCCTCCCAAACTGCTGGGATTACAGGCGTAAACTACCACGTCCAGCCACTCTGGTACCTTTTTAGGTCTAAAAAGGGCTCTAAAGCCTGCTAGAACTTCATCTTCATTATAAAACCTGAGTATCCATAATCCCTTATCTTAGTCCAGACGTTCCTTCCAGTTGATTCCAGTTTTTTAGATACTAATTATTTCAATCAACTGCCAATCATAAAATCTTTGAACCCACCTATGACCTGAAGCCACCACTCCCTCCCTTCAAGTTGTCCCGCCTTTCTGGACCAAACCAATGTACTTCTTATATGTACTGACTGATGTGCTATGTCTCCCTAAAACATGCAAAACTAAGCTGTAGACCGACATGTTGGGCACATGTTCTCAGGATCTCCTAGAGCTGCGTCAAGGTCCTAATATCTGGCACAGAATAAATCTCTCAAATATTTAGAGTTTGACTTTTTGTCAACAAATTTATTCTCTCAAGTCTCCCTGTGTTTTAAAACATACTGTACAAAATGTTCAAACAAGCTCATACTTTTTTTTTTTTTTTTTTGAGACTGAGTTTCATTCTTGTCACCCAGGTTGGAATGCAATGGTGAGATCTTAGCCCACTGCAACCTCCACCTCCCGGGTTCAAGCGATTCTCCTGCCTCAGCCTCCTCAGTAACTGGATTACAGATGCCCACCAACCACACCCGGTTAATTTTTACTTTTTTTTTTAATAGAGAAAGGGTTTCCCCATATTGGCCAAGTTAATCTCGAACTTCTGACTTCAGGTGATCCTCCACCTCACAAAGTGCTGGGATTACAGGTGGGAGCCTCCACACCTGACCACAAACTCATACTTCTAAATTCCTTTCTGGTAATGTTAGTGTGAGTATTAGTTTTTAAGCAACTTAACTTTTCCTTTGAAACCAACTACCTGATGAAGCATTTAGAAAAACTTAAAAGGTAAGTCTTTTCCTAAAACACTTTACCTCCATTTTGCCATAACAAATGGCCTTCTGTTAATTAAAGTAGATATACTTATGTTCATCTTACCAAATTGAAGTAAAAGGTCATCTTCTAATACCGGCTTCAAATACTCTTCTTCCTCCCAAGGCACTGGGTTGTATATGGAATTCATATACTCAACTGTAGGATTCTGGATATAAAATTAATTGTATGTTTTTTCCATTACATATAACCACAAAATCTCCTTAGTAAAAACTACAGAAATTTAACAAAAAGGAAATTACGTGTGCATTACTCAAAATCAGTTTATCTCTAAGAAGTCTGTATATACTTGTCATTTCATGAACTTGTTGGATGATTGCTTAATCAGCAGTTTTTTGTTGTTGTTGTTGTTTTTACTATTTGGATTTCGGGAATGCAGAGTTTTTTTTTACTATTTGGATTTGGGGAAAGCGTTGTCATGTCATTAAAGATTCCTTTAAATACGACAAAAACACCCACACAGTATTTGAAAAAACAACAAAAAAGAGCAACTAAAATACTTAAAATGACATTAGAAATTACTTCTGATTTTACAGATCTTCTCCATCAATACTTCCCTTTATCTGACACTGAATTACTTTTTCATATACACTGATTCATCTCTTAGATGCAGTGAAAATAATACTTGTTAGTTACGGTAGACATTTACATGGTGCTTTCTGTTATGCTAGTTCCTAATGTCCACGAGTCCTCAATATGAGTACCAAATTTAACACAGTTCCTCATATAACAATTCCTCATATTCTTTTAAATAATCAGTAGTCTGATTAAATCATGAGTAGACTCATAGTCAGTGGAGCATTTCTTTAATTTCTAAACAAAATTATAAATTAGGCTGTCAACTTACCTTAAGTCTAATAAAATTTATTAGCTTAATGTATCCATAAAATTCAAGTCCTAAAGAGAGAAAAAAGAAAATTCACCTGTTTTAACATAATGTGAATTTTGTTTAATTGACCTGTTCTATAAGGGATCTCTGATTAAATAATAAAATACTTCTTACCCTAAATTACAACTGATATTTTGAATTGTATTAAGAATGAGAATAATACTTCTGAATATTCTGAGAAACAGCAATAGATGACAAATAAAAGCTTTTGTCGTATTTCTAAGAAGATGGGAAATTGATTTCTAAAATTCTATTCCTCCTTTGTCAGAACAATACAAATCTGGAAAATTAGGTCCTACATTTTACCAAGTATTTGGCAACTGGTATCAGCTAAAAATTTTAAATCCTTAATTTTTATGGTGCGTATGAAATTATAATTTTGCCAGGACATGGTGTATACTAGCTTTTACATGAAGTTAAATGATGCAAACCCAATGAGGTTTGTTATCTGGTTCTCATATATTTCCAGAAATGAAGCAGCATCTTTAACAAAGGAAAGCAGTAATATACCCAATCAACCAATTATTTGTCATAAAACTGTTGTTAAGAGAAAGCTTTAATAGTATACAAACCCCCTATATTGGTAAGTGAAAACAAATATAAAATTATATCTCAAGTATGAGTCTAATACTTTAGAAATGCAACACTAAAAACATTTAAAAATGAGGCTGTCATTTATGCCTTACAAAAGTACTTCAAGTTGAATTTATGAGTTATAAACATGTGATACCATGTACTTATCCGACACTGAAACATCTGTCTAGTATTTGCTATTTCTCAATAATGTCCCTTCTTAGTTTTCGACAAATATAGGGACCAAAAGACCAATTCTGTATCTAGTTAATTTTTTGTAGTGTAGCTCTTCTATATCCATTAAAGAAGTGGAATGCGTTAATTGTAAGGCAAGTTTGTTTAAATAAAAGTTGCAATAGAAACAGCACCTGAATGTTTTGCTTCATCACTCTTTGTCCAGTGTCTACCAAACTTTGTACAAAACTCAGTCTCATAGGCCGTGAAATTCATGTCATGCTTTGAGTTTTTTTCAAATGACCTACCTCCTTTTTCAAATTCTACCTCTATGCTTGCTCTCCCTAATTGTAATATGTAATCACATAAAATGTAAAAATGTAATCACATGCCAAGTCTGTTTTTGTGTAAAAATGTAATCACATGCCAAGTCTGTTTTTGTGTTTAGTTGTAAAGCCAATATAAGCTTAAATATAGTGAATCTTGTCTAGAAGAGTGATTTACTAATTATTTCCTCAAGGACCGCTTGTCAAAAAACTCCATTTCCACATAAGATAATGCTGTATGATTCACCATATTAGACTCGTACAGAAAAAGGGTCTGGAAAAGTATAAAATCTGAACTTAAATTTCACACCCTTTTTTTTTTTTTTTTTTTGAGACAGAGTCTCACTCTGTTGCTCAGGCTTGAGTGCAGTGGTGCCATCTTGGCTCACTGCAACCTTCACCTCCCAGGTTTAAGTGATTCACCTGTCTCAACTTTCTGAGTAGCTGGGATTACAGGTGTGCATCACCATGCCCAGATGATTTTTGTATTTTAGAAGAGATGGGGTTTCACCATGTTGGTCAGGCTGGTCTCAAACTCCCAACCTCAAATGATCCACCCACCTCAGCCTCCCAAAGTGCTGGGATTACAGGCATAAGCCACCATGCCTGGCCAAATTTCACAACTTGGATTGCCTTTATTCTAAAAAACTACTCACCATGTTTATGAACCATGCTGTCAATATTAAATTGATGCTCAGACTTACAGTGTGAAAATGTTTCTTCAGCAGATATGAATAACCTGAAAAATAAAGCAACATGGAATAGTCCCCCAAGAAATCTAAATACTGATTTCATATTACATATACACTTGTTTTTTTTTTTTACTCTGCTGGTTTCTAGTTTTATTTCCAATTAAGCAAAAACAAACACACTTGTATCTGAAAGGAATGGAACTCAGCACTTCTAAAGGGAATTAATTAGTACTTCTGAGTCCTATTTTACACCTAAAACCAATTATCCTTTAAACGTCAAAGTTAATTTATTTGTCAAATAATATCACTGATTTAATCAAAAGGCTTTTGAGTTCCCTTTGATAGATTCTGCTTCTCTCAAGTCATACAATTTCCCTACTTGAGATTCTTTTCTCGTCTAAGTGTCAACTCTGCTTTCAGAGGCTTTCAACTGGCACAGCTCAAACTGCTTTTAGAAATAAAGCATAAAATGTAATTTTACAGCTGGCATATTCCCAAAGTGCCTTATTTCAAAAGTGATCTTGTAGTGTTCCCAATGTACTTGCATTACAGACACTGTGAGCATCAAGCCTCTTTATTATGTGACATGCAAATCTGAAGGACACTTTAAAGACAGGAATACACAGCAGAGAAGCTGCCTACCATATCTATATTCCTAACACATGTGGAGCATTAGTTTTCAACAAATGTTTACCAAGATAGGTTATTTGGAGTATTTATGGAGGCTATCACTGGCACTGCACCCCTGGTGCTCAATAAACATTTTATGACAACTAGAATATATGCAGGCATTCCACCTACCCAATGGGGCGACAGATGAGAACACTAACACACCACCAATCGGTACCATGTCCAGATACAGAGAACACTGGAAAATGTATTAAAGTAACACTGGCCAATGCCAGCCGGGCCTCTTTCATGCCTACTTGCCTAGGACAGCAGCCAAGTCTTCCCAAGACTAATAGTCACAATTATAAGTGGCAGGAATGTGAATTTGGAAATAAGCACACCACAGCTTTGTGACCTTGAGCAAATTATTGATACTGCAGTCTCTTTTTCCCTTAAGGAAGGTGAACTTCCTTCTTAGACCATCTAAACCGCTCAAATATAATAGAAATGGTTCACCTGAGAAGCTCTCTACTGCATGGTAAAGCTGGAAGGCTCCTTAGGGATTATCTAAGTTCAGTGTGGCTCCCAAATTTGTTACTCATTAGTAACTTCATTGTTACTTCTGATCTTGTCCTTATAAAAACGTAAGATTCCTAGACCCTATTCCTGATTTAGAAGGATTCAGGTGCAGAGTTCAGCACCAGTTTGTTGTTGTTTTTTCAGTGTCTTAGGGGACAAGATTTGGGAACCACAGATTCAATGCACTACTAGTCAAGAGCTGTAGTACAATCGGCCTTCCAGTTCATGGCTCCCCCTCTCTACTCCTCCACAAGCCCTCACCCCAGACCAGTGGTTGCAGAATTCGAGGACAGGCCACTCTGGTTCGCCTCCTGCCCGAAGTCGTTCCTGGGCACACAGACCCCACGCGGTCCGGCACCCTAGGGCAGGGGCCAGGCGCTGGGGCGGACCAACCTGTTACAGAACAGGCAGGGGGTCTGCTGCTTGTCGTGGGGGAGATCAGCGTCGTCCTCATCCTCCCAGGCGGCCTCGTCCCCGCTGTCCGACAGTTCTGGCAGGTCCTCCTCATCCTCCACAGCGCCCCGGCCGCCTAACACAGGCACAACAATCAGATCGGCCTCGGACGCCGGTGCGGCCCAGGTGCTCGAGGAACAGGTGAGAATGCGCTTCCCCACTCCTGTTCGCCCGCGGCCCTCACTCAGCACCTCCTCCGTGCTCCCTGGGAGCCCCCCACCCCGCTCCGGCCCGCGTCCCAGAGGGTATTCCACCGGCCCCACAGAGGCCCGGCCTGGGGGTGAGCGAGCTGGGTGCTCAGGGGCCAGGGGTACCCACCGGTAGCGCCCGACGCCAACGAGCACATGGCTGTGGTGCCCGAAGAGCCCGCGTGTCTGGGGGCGGGGACCGGTTGGGTAACGAGCGCGCGCAGCGGCCGCCGACTCCAGGAACGAGCGCGAGCACAAGCGCGACCCCGCGGCAGGACCGGGGCCCGGGAACTTCGCAGACCGCCGGGAACGCCGGAGCGCGCGCGCTTCCGGCCTCGAGGCGCGGTGCGGGTCACGTGAGCTGGGGGCGGGGCGAAACGGGGGCTCCACCGTCTCCCGCCGCAGGATTCACGCAGCGCGCGCCGAGGAGGCGCGTTGATGACGGTGAATGTTGCAGCCCAGGAAGTGACTTTTGTCCCCTCCTTGGGCTGCGGCAGGCGTTAGCGGGAAGTCCCGGCCCGCAGCCCTGAGCCCCGAGGCACAGAGACGCCGCAGCAGTTTTGCTGTTGGTATCCTGTCCTCTGTTCGCCCCACAGAGCGGTTAGCGGAGGGGCGACCGGCCCTTAACGCCCTCTGGTGGCGGAGGAGGCCAAACGCTGGCTGCTCGGCTGGACTCAGGTCCTAGAGTGGGTGCAGCTGGCGAGAGGGAACGGGACGGGTCTGCTGCAGGGACAGATAGGAGCCAGAGCCCCCAAAACGGATTTTAATCTTTGGTTAACTGAGAGCGTGAACTCTAGAGGCAGTTTACTGGGTTTGAATCCTACCCACGTCACTTTGTAACTGTTGAGCAAGTTACTCGACCTCTCTCTGCCTCAGTTTCATCAAATACAAAACCAGGATAATTAACTGCACTAATCTCAGCACTATAGTAAGGATAAAGTGAGTTAATACATGTAAAGTGGTCAGATACTTGGTCCTAAACAATGGGAAACGGTTGAACTATTTTTAAGCCAAGGCAGTGATGCTCTCAGATGTGTTGAGAAAGGAACATTCCAGTTGCTGTGTGGGGAAGAATACAAAGGTTCCCCTGCCTGCGTCATGCCACTTCCTTCTTCCTTTCCTAATATCTATTCAAACCATAGAATTATTTATTTATTTATTTATTTATTTAAGACTGAGTCTCGCACAGTTGCCCGGGCTGGAGTGAGCGATCTCTTCTCACTGCAACCTCCATCTCCCAGGTTCACATGATTCTCCTGCCTTAGTCTCCTGAGTAGCTGGGATTACAGGTGCACATCACCACACCCGGCTAATTTTTTGTTATTTTTTAGTAGCGATGGGGTTTCACTAAGTTGGCCAGGCTGGTTTCGATCTCCTGACCTGGTGATCTGCCCCACTCCACCTCCCAAAGTGTTGGGATTACAGGTGTGAGCCACTAATTCTTTCTTAGGCCAGCATTCTTTCGCAGGAGGGAGTGCCCCAGGCTCTAGCAGTTTAAATTGGCCTACCAGGCCCTGCATAATCCTGCTTCTTTCCAACTCGCCCTCAAGCCTTTTATTTACTGCTAATCACTGAATCCTCTACAAGTGGGTAAGTCCTTTTGGTCTCAACCAGAAACACTCCTCAAGCCACCATTTCCAAAATAGTTTCTACCATTGTTTCAGAAGTATCTTGTTCGTTTCTTAGCACCTACCATTTGCTTACTTGATTTTTTTTTCTTTCTTTTTTGGTGATAACCCACAGCACCGCACAACAAGTGTAAGTAAGGACCATGTCTCTTTACTTTCATTTCTCTGGCACATAATAAATGGCCTGGCCCATAGTATTAATAGACACTGAATGAAATTTATTTACTGAATGAAAATTATGCCTATATATTGCTAAATGTATTTCTGAATGTACTCCTTTCCCTTAATTGCAAATCCCTAAAGGACGGAATCCATCAAATAATTAGTTTGTGGTGGTGGTTTTTTTTCTTTGAGACAGAACCTTGCTCTGTCACCCAGGCCGGAGTGCAGCGGTGCGATCTTGGCTCACTGTAACCTCCACCTCCTGGGTTCAAGTGATTCTCCTGCCTCAGCCTCTGAGTAGCTGGGATTACAGGCGCCCACCACCACGCCCGGCTAATTTTTGTATTTTTAATAGTGGTAGGATTTCACCATGTTGGTCAGGCTGGTCTTGAACGCCTGTCCTCCAGTGATCCACCCGCCTCGGCTTCCCAAAGTCCTGGGATTACAGGCGTGAGCCACTGTGCCCAGCCCAAATATTCGTTTTGAAGCTTTCTTACATTCTAGGACACTGCCAAAATAGCTGCTGGCTCCCTTGAGTTGGAGTCATTGTTCATGGATGCATCCCCAGTGCCTGTGTGCTCAGTGGTTGCTAGGAGGCACTGAATAAGCATTTGCTGAATGAATTAATGAATTAAATAAACACTTTTGATTACCTGGGCGCATCCAACTTTTCCCTTCATCCTTCCAATATAAACTCTGTCTGTGTAAAATGTGGTGGAAAACTTCCTGAATCCCTTAGTACTAAATGGAACACTCAGTCCATTCATTACTGACAATAAAACAAGTTAACACCCAGTGTGGAGGATTGGCCAAGAGTCTTGTTCCTTAGTAAGTTCGTATCTCACCACAATGCAGAGCTCAAGAGAGGGCTGCTTTTCTCTCTACCCTCAAGGTAAACACAAACCATTCCTCATCCCACATCACTACTGAGACCACAATAACATGTTGAATAAAACCTGCTCAAAGGTTTGTAAGGAAATAATATGAGGAGAATAACTTAAAACAGGCCATTGGGTTTAGCTGCTTTCAGAGCCCAGAGGCCTCAGCATATCCTCAGCCCATGCTTTTTCACCACCAAAACCACACATTTAGGCTCTCCAAAGTCTAGCTCCCAGGGAACCCCACCTGGCAGGAAGAAGATAATTCCATTTCCTTCTAAAGCTCACATTTCAAGATTCCACCCTGCCCTAAATTATGCCTCTTTTCTGGATGACTGACATTGGGAATGTCTACTCCCTTCTGAGGATATACACCACAAATTAAAGGGCATGGCCTTTATCCTCCAGTGTATACTGAAGCTTGAAATGTACTTGGCATACTGTAAGCCTTGGAAAAATTGAATCACTCAAATCGCTTTTCTTCCCTGGTGTAGATGTTAAGTTTCACCAACATCTTTTGTTCCATGATGGAAATTAGCAATGTGTGCTCCTCTTGGCTTTGACCCTTTCTTCTGCATCTTCCTTTGTCTTAATTTTTAAAGTGCAGCAGCATGAGCACTTTAAAGTTTGGTGACAAAGAATTTTACTGGCTACATGAATATTTTGTGGTTAATCACTAGAACAAAGGAGAAACTCAAATATTTGTTTTGTTTATCCACAACATGTAGTAACAATTAACTGGAACTACCTGGAAACACACACAGAAACAGAGTGATCTTGCAGGGTGGTTAAAAACACGATCTGTGAGATCTGTGGGATCAGGCAGACCTGGGTTAGAATCCTGACTCTCATTTCTTAGCTTCAGTTCTTCAGCTTTGGACTCTTGAGCAAGGCACTTAACCACAGTGAGCCTCATTTCCCCATCTAAGACATGAAGATCATGATAGTATAACTTTATAAGGATAGCTTATAAAGGAGGGTTAAAGCATAGATAACACATGTAAAGCCTGGTACTTAGTAAGCATATCACCCCACAGGCTGAAATGCTGCATATCACCCCACAGGCTGAAATGCTGCATATCACCACTACTACATGGGCATTGTCTTTTTCTTTTCTTTTCTTTTCTTTTTTTTTTTTTTTTTTTTTTTTTTAGACAGAGTCTTGCTGGGTCACCAGGCTGGAGTGCAATGGTGCAGTCTTGGCTCAATGCAACCTCCACCTCCTGGGATCAAGTGATTCTTCCACCTCAGCCTCCCGAGTAGCTGGGACCACAGGCGCATGCCACCACGTCTGGCTAATTTTTTTGGTATTTTTAGTAAAGATAGGGTTTCACCATGTTGGCCAGGATGGTCTCGATATCTTGACCTTGTGATCCACCTGCCTTAGCCTCCCAAAGTGCTGGGATTACAGGCGTGAGCCACCGCAACCGGCCATTACATGGGCATTTTCAAACAATCTAAGAGGTACCCAAGAGTTGTCCATTTACCTTTATTCCTTTATTTAATCTTCCACATGTATTCTTAAGTATATAACTTCTATTACATAAAGAAGTAGTAAAGGCACAATGTTTACTTACAAGTTACATGTAGTTAATTAGCACTTTTGTAATTCAGAGAGATGAATGTCAACAATTTTAGAGGAGAGCTCATATGCATGGTCATAAGATTTTCACTGTTGCTGTGACTCTGCAGACAGTCATTTCAAAACAGGCCTCCCAACCAGTGGCATCAGAACCAGTGGCATCAGGGGAAGTATAAACAAGGAAATTACACATTATTGTGACCACACTCCCAGAAATTTTGACTCAAGTTTGAGATAGGGCTTACAAATCTTTATTTTTCCAAAGCTCCCTGGATGATCTATGTGTATAACAGGCTCTGAACCACCGATGCAGAGCACCATCATTTCTTGATTGGAATGGATGCCTGAGAATAGTAAAACAACGAAGTTAAAACATGCTGACTTTTTTTAGACCCTGAAATTACCGATTTGGTGATGGGTGTTAAAGTTGACAGTAAAAACCATTACTCCAGTGTGGTCACGGCTTGAGAGAGCCATCCGCTTTCCCCAGATCGTGGATGGCCTTGTTCTCCAGCAATTCCATCTTCTTCTCGCTTGGTCTCACTGCATTGTTCAGCATCGCTCTAACCACGGTCGCCACAGGCACAGAATGCCCACTAGCCCAAGATGCTGGTAAGGAGCCAAAGAACTTTCTAACGAACCATTCACCTGGGCGAGATTCTTGCCTATCACATAACAGAACTCTTTAAAAAAACAGAAAGAAAAGCAGAGGAAGAGGTGGTAAATTGCACTGAGACCTCAGTGGGCATTATGGACCACGCTGTATCCCCTCAGAATTCTAATGCTGAAGCCCGAACCCTAATGTGTCTATCTTTGAACATAAGGCATTAAGAGAAGTAATTAGGATTAAATGAGGTCTTAAGGATGGAACAGGACTAGTGGGATGGGACTGGGGTCCTTGTAAGAGGAAAAGACATCAAAGGTCTCTCTCTCTCTCTCTGCATACATAAAGAAGGCCATGTGAGGACACTACCAGAAGACCACCTATCTGCCAGCCAGGAAAAGAGCCTTCACCAGATATCAACCCTGAGGGCACCTTGATCTTGGACTTCCAATCTCCAGACCATGTGAAAATAAGTATCTGTTGTTTAAGCTACCCAAT